TTCTAGAAAATTACGCAAACGAAGGTGAAGCCAACGAATATTTAGTATGAAGAATTTTTGGTTTTACTACTAATATCACTAAAAACTATAGAGTAAGCAACATTCTGCACAAGTAAAGGGGCCGATTTTATGTGTGGGAGCGAGAAGACTGTTTTATTACAAAACCTTTTTATTATTGAATCATGCTTGCTAAGGGAGCCGATTTTGTCAAGAGGGAGCGAGAAAACAGTTTCTTGAGCAAACCTTTTATTACTGAATCATGGTCAAACAGTACACCTAAAGCGTGGTGGAACAAAGACCACGAAAAACTGCATAGGCTACATGTGGCTAATCGTAAAACGGCTAACCGTACAAACAGCATGGACGATATGGAAGCAACGCTAATAGCAACGGAAGAACGGAAGACTGGAAGAAGGCAGTGAAGGAAGCAAACAAGTAAGCTATAATAACAAAATTGAAGAGCTCAGCTCATGCCGAAATGCAAAAAGTGCCTGGAACTTTATAAGGAAAGGAAACACACGCTATCTAAAAAATTGGGCAACCGAAGACGATCGGAATTTCCTAGAACTTATTAAGAATCAAGCGAAACAAGACAGCAATGTCTGCATCAACATCCCTCCAGTCCTCGCCGTGGCAACCAATGCTAGTAATAAAAATATCGACTTTTCTTACAATCTGCCTTATCCTGAGTTTCGCCTGAAAAAATATTCACCCGAAAATTTGTCATCCGTCCATAGTAAAACCATGGAAACGAAGAGTGAAAAGTGAACCGGTTCGGGGAAAATGAAACTCATGATAAGGCTGAATAAGTTTGAAAAGCTATTAGGAAAAAAATCTACTCCAGTAGGCACAGACAGGGTTACATTCAACATGTTAAAGCAACTTACACCTGAGTCAAGGCAAGGGTTATTCACATCTATCAATGAGTATTGTTATAACAACAGGGCATTAAGTTCATGGAGACAAATTAAAGTAATCCCAATACCAAAAGTCAACAAGAGCACTGAAGATATCGATAACTATAGACCCATCTGTAGTGGCAAAAAGCATCAATATGATGATAAAGGAATCGCTGAACGCATTTATAGAGACAAACAATCTGCTACCCTAAATATGTTTCGCATATCGCAAACAGAGATCGGTAACAATGTGCATGAACGAGATGCTTCATCCCGTTGCGGAAAAAAAGAGATGCAGAAACTATGTTTTTATCCAGGGACCCAAAATAACCGTTATCACATTTTTTAAAAATAAAAAAATTAAAGACAAAATATTGTTGTTGACAGGATTTTTCAAAGTTCTTGAGGCCTCAGGACATTCTCTATAAGAATCCTTCGTGCCCTTTAATTTCCTAACTTTTTGAAAAAAGTCCAATATAAACGGTTAAAAGTTTACTTTTATTTTTTCAGTCAAATAATAACGGTTAAAATGTGACTTTTATTTTTTCCGGCAAAAATAAAAGGCTTGGCTAAATACCGAAATAGCCTTCAGTCTAAATAAAGTAAATTTGGAACCAATCGATTCGTCTCGACTTCTAGGTTTCAAAAATATATAATTTGTCGCTATTGGGCTTCTGCGATTGAACAAGCAACACAAACACTAGCTGAAGTCTGATTCATTAGGTATATGTGCAAAGATTAAGCGTACTCGTATAAACTTTTCGTATAACAAAAAGTATTGCTAGAATATGAAATTACCATAGGAATAACTGTATACCAATTCAATCGGTGTTGTTGGAATACTCGCACTTTTACTTAGGTACTATTTTCGTGACAAGTCTTTCAGGTGCGACAACAACTCTTGGTTCCTCCTACAATCTGCACGGTATGTCAGACCAGGATATTCCGTAATGTGACATCAGTCAAGTGCAACACCTGCCTTGGCTGGTGGCACTTTAGGGCATGCTGAGGTCTGCGCACCACGCGAGATTGGACGGGGAACTTCGAGGGCCCGTGTTGCGCTGCTCGGTCGCAGATCTCAACTGCGACGCCACCCACCACCACCACAGGGCGTCAACCACCTCAGCAGCACACGCAGCCAATGGCGTCGCGGCCTCCTTCGCGAAGCTCCTTCAATTTAACGGTAACGGGCTACAGAGCAATATCGAGGAGATAACCGTCTTCATGGGAAGACATGGTATATTGATAGCTGCGGTCCAAGAGACGAAGTTGCACAGCAATTCAACATTGTTGAATTGTGCCGAGTACAACGTGCACCGTCGAGATCGCGAGCGAGATAATGGTGGGAGCGATTACATGTCTAAATAACACAGGTCAACTCAACACACACAACCTCAACACAGGAATTCAACATACACAAACTAAACACACACCAACTCAACACACACTTGTTCAACACATGTGTTGGGTGTTGTAATGATCGATATTTGACGGTATTCTTTCTGCGTAGGGGGCCTTCGGCCGCACTTAGGGATAATAACCCTCACAAAGTAGAATTCTCTTTCCGTTTTGCGAAGAAAAGGGGCNCAATGAGTATTGTTATAACAACAGGGCATTAAGTTCATGGAGACAAATTAAAGTAATCCCAATACCAAAAGTCAACAAGAGCACTGAAGATATCAATAACTATAGACCCATTTCGCTCATATCTGTAGTGGCAAAAAGCATCAATATGATGATAAAGGAATCGCTGAATNCACATTTTGCAGAGAACACCTTTCTGCGTAGGCGGCCTTCGGCCGCACTTAGGGATTATAACCCTCACAAAGTAGAATTCTCTTTTTCTTTTGCGACGAAAAGAGGCTGAACACCTTTTGCAGAGAACACCTTTCTGCGTAGGCGGCCTTCGGCCTCGCTTAGGGATTATAACCCTCACAAAGTTGACGTAAGTTATNACGGGGAACTTCGAGGGCCCGTGTTGCGCTGCTCGGTCGCAGATCTCAACTGCGACGCCACCCACCGCCACCACAGGGCGTCAACTACCTCAGCAGCACACGCAGCCAATGGCGTCGCGGCCACACACATATCTCACACCCCGCATCATCACACGTCTCCCATACCACTCGAAGCTCCTTCAATTTAACGGTAACGGGCTACAGAGCAATATCGAGGAGATAACCGTCTTCATGGGAAGACATGGTATATTGATAGCTGCGGTCCAAGAGACGAAGTTGCACAGCAATTCAACATTGTTGAATTGTGCCGAGTACAACGTGCACCGTCGAGATCGCGAGCGAGATAATGGTGGGAGCGATTACATGTCTAAATAACACAGGTCAACTCAACACACACAACCTCAACACAGGAATTCAACATACACAAACTAAACACACACCAACTCAACACACACTTGTTCAACACATGTGTTGGGTGTTGTAATGATCGATATTTGACGGTATTCTTTCTGCGTAGGGGGCCTTCGGCCGCACTTAGGGATAATAACCCTCACAAAGTAGAATTCTCTTTCCGTTTTGCGAAGAAAAGGGGCTAACACATTTTGCAGAGAACACCTTTCTGCGTAGGCGGCCTTCGGCCGCACTTAGGGATTATAACCCTCACAAAGTAGAATTCTCTTTTTCTTTTGCGACGAAAAGAGGCTGAACACCTTTTGCAGAGAACACCTTTCTGCGTAGGCGGCCTTCGGCCTCGCTTAGGGATTATAACCCTCACAAAGTTGACGTAAGTTATTGTTGAACGAGCTTTTTCAGCATTGAAACTTGTTTTAACGGACTTACGTTATAATTTGTCCGACCAAAATTTGGAAACAATTTGCCTTTAAAGCTTAATAACAATATTTTATAAAGGCTGCGTTTCTTTATACATTCCGGATAATCCCATTTCACAGCCGGAATAAACAGAATGCTTTTGAAATATACGCTAACATATCATCAGGAACGTTCTAAAGAATAAGTAAACAAAAAAGTTTATTCCAAACGTTCAGAATGAATAAAGAAATTCAGCCAAAGTAAATTAACTGCTTGAATGAGAAGATTTTGTTTTTGAACGTTTTGAAATACAATAATTTGTTATTTTTTTTGAAAATTGGGAGTAGAAAAGTTTTAATTTCGATCCGCTTGAATTGCAAATTGAAGATGTCAATGCTGATACTGAAGTTTTCATATGTCCTATGTGTTTTAAATGATTTTAAATAACCAGTATAGTACGGACTTCTCGAAAACTAAAATTATTAAATCAATTCCTCATTATATTTAATAACATAGAAAACATTCAAAGAAATACTCCACGGATCTCCATTAAGAATTGGCATTTAATATGTTGCTAGCCCTGGCATCAAACGACAGCTAGTTTTGGTCTCGTTTGCTGAGTCAGAACCCAAACATCAACAAATTATATATTTTTGAAATCTAGAAGTCAAGACGAATCGATTGGTACCAAATTTATTTTATTTAGACCTAAGGTTTTTTTCTTATTTAGCTAAGCCTTTAATTTTTGCCGGAAAAAATAAAAGTCACTGTGGCAACCGGCCTAAACTCAACCAGGGTGACGGCAACCCTAAACACACACGAAAGAACGAAACAAAAGGAATCATAAAAACACAAAATGAAAGTGCACTTAACGCCTCGAAAAATATAGACATTTTAGCAGAGCGAATCAATCCACACACCGGTGAAGACGAACAATCGTTAAATACGTTTATCACATATTCTCATATTAAATAGTTCCAGTGTAATAAGTTAATTTTATTTAAGTTTCTGATTAATAAAACGTTTGACACAGTATACCCACCAACTGGTGACCCCGAGATAAAAACGGAGATATTGTGCCAAATATCGCGACAAACCACCCGGGTAAAACGCAAAGCACCTGTTGCTCTAAGAACTAGCCAACACGGACGTAGTTGCGAATAAACCCCCGCAATTGCAGTAAACGCGCATATAAAACAATTAAAATCGACATATATATATATATTTGCGTAAAAAAGAGTACTGTACAAGATAACGCCACCAAAAACCAGCGTCCGTTATAACAGTAGTCGACCATAGCGGAACACGAAGAAACGGGCATACGAGCATTGGCAACATGAATTTGGACGATAGTCAGAAGAGCGTCGGGAATCCCGCAAACGACGATAGCAGCGCTGCAGACAACGCCAACGCAAATACCAACGCAGGCGTCGACAGCGGCATACCGCAAATCAACGCGGTGTTTGGAAAATTACCGTTCCCTAAACTAAATTCCAAGTACAATATCGAATCATGGTTTATAAAGGTAGATGCATGGTTCGAATTGCACGGCTTCGGTATTCGTAAGGAGAAAGACAAATATACCGCCATCATCGCACATGCCGACGACTATATTCTCGACCAAGTCTTTGAGCTAGTTCGCAATCCACCAACCACGACCCCTTACACTACGCTAAAAATGGCCATAATCGAAAAATTCAGCGATTATGCGATGGCCCGACTAGATAGACTCACCGGTATACAGTTAGGCGATGGTAAGCCCAGCCACTTGCTGAGTCAGATGCAACGCACAAACGCCACCAAGGATGAATCCGTAATACAGCAATACTGGCTAAAGCAACTACCCGAAGCTGCTCGTGCCGTTATAGCCGGTATGCTGCAGGCTCAACCGAGTACGCCCTTACACCAACTCGCCATTACTGCCGACGCCGTACTCGACGCACTTAGCCGCGACTCCAACGCCACGGCAACAACCAGAGGGCCAGCCGTCAACGCCATCGAAACACTTACCAGCCGATTTTCTCTGCTCGAAAAAAGAATCGAAAAGCAGGACTCCGTTCTCGAGAACATAAATGCCAAGTTGCATCAGCTAATGTCTCAAAACCGCAGCCGACAGCGAGATCGTTCACAAGGTAACCCAAAACGCCAAAGCACACCACACCTCAGCTCCAAGGTAGATCAATTGCCGACATGCTGGTACCACCGCGAATACGGCACACAGGCTCGTAAATGCAGAAGTCCATGTGACTTTCCCGTCAAAAAAGCAGACAAGCCAAAAAACTAAAGGCCGCCGTAACGAAAACGCTCGACAGTTCCGGCAGCAAAACACAAACGAGTTGACAATCACAATGCGAACTGGAGGTAAAAATTTCCGAATTCACGAAATCTAAACGTTTTTTCATCCTAGATAAAATTTCGAAACAACTATTTTTGATCGACACTGGCGCGGAGGTATCCGTAATTCCACCAACACGTGCATGTCGTTTGTCAAATAGCGAAGGCAAACCACTTTTCGCAGCGAACGGCACCGTCATCAAAACCTACGGTTTAACACGCCGCACACTCGACCTAGCTCTCCAACGCAAACTCACGTGGGACTTCGTCATAGCCGAAACGCGATACGCAATTATTGGTGTCGACTCCCTTCGCCATTTCAACTTAATAATCGACATCGGGAACACGACTCTTATAGACGGAACACTATCGCGACCAGGCATCTGTAGTTTTGAAAAATCAACGACAATTAAAACCAAATACGACTCCAGCGACATAGGAAAATTGCTGCGCGAATTCAGTAAAATAACGGACCCTAACGCAATAGCCCCGTCACCAATGCAGACTGGGGTGACGCACTGCATCGAAACAAAAGGTCCACCTGTGTTCGCTCGACCTAGACGTCTCGCACCAGAAAAACTCAAAGCTGTCAGAGAGGAATTCGAATACCTCACTAGGCTCGGAATTTGTCGTCCTTCGAAAAGCTCGTATGCTTCTCCATTACATCTGGTAAAAAAAGCTAACGGTGAGTGGCGCCCATGCGGGGATTATCGAGCTCATAACGCTCAGACGGCACCGGACCGATACCCACTTCCACATATCCAGGATTTCACACACTTCCTATACCAGAAGGATGTATTCAGCAAAATTGACCTCAACCGAGCTTACCACCAAATTCCGATCGAGCCCAGCGACATCCACAAGACGGCAATAACCACGCCGTTTGGGTTATTCGAATTCACTCACATGACGTTTGGTTTATGCAACGCTGCACAAACGTTTCAAAGGTTTATGCATGCAGTTTTCCGAGGTCTGGATTTCGTGTTTGTGTATATCGACGACGTGTGCGTCGCTTCCGAAGGCATCGAACAGCACAAGCAACACTTGCGACAGGTCTTCGAACGTCTTCAACAGTTCCACCTCACCATCAACGCAGCAAAATGCGAATTTGCTCTACCACAGATCGAGTTCCTTGGGCACTTGGTCACGAAGCAAGGTATCGAGCCGCTACCCAGGAAAGTGCAGGCGATCAGCAACTTTCCATTGCCTGGAGTCGCCAAAGAATTGCGTCGATTCCTAGCAATGATAAACTTTTATCGCCGTTTTTTACCAAATGCAGTTTATCACCAAATACCACTCGTTAAACTAATTCCTGGCACCAAAAAAAGGACCGAAGATACAATTAAACACTTCAATCAATGCAAACAAGCATTGGCGAATGCAACACTGCTAGTCCACCCGGCACCAAACGCTCAAATATCGCTCAGCACGGACGCAAGTGATACGGCTATCGGCGCAGCTCTCCATCAGATCATTGGTAACGAGTTTCAACCTCTAGCATTCTTCAGCCTCAAGCTCAACGAAGCACAGCGGAGGTATAGTACCTATGACCGCGAACTGCTCGCGGTATACCAGGCCATTAAACATTTTTGCGGTATGCTGGAAGGAAGAACTTTCGAGGTGCGCACAGACCACAAGCCTCTGGTGTACGCGTTCAAGCAAAAATACGACAAAGCATCGCCACGCCAATTGCGACAGCTAGACTTTATTAGTCAGTTTACGACGAACATTATTCACGTCGCAGGCGTCGAGAACACCACAGCTGATACCCTGTCACGCATCGAAACGCTCTAATCGAAAAACGTCGACTTTAAACGAATTGCCGAAGGTCAAATGAAATGCCCTGACCTAAAAAAACTCATCGAAGGCGACACGTCCTTGCAGCTGAAAAGAATTCGTATACCAAATACGAATCACATAATCTACTGTGATACATCAACTTCAGAAGTTCGACCGTTTATACCGCAAGCGCATCGCAGATTGATTATCGAGAAAATGCATTGCATCGCACATGGTGGTGTGCGCGCAACCACCAAACTCGTCAAAGAACGCTTCGTATGGCCAAATATGGGTAAAGACATCGCCAAGGAGGTACAACACTGCCTAAGCTGCCAAAAAGCTAAGGTCAGCAGACACGTTCGCGCGCCAGCACAACAATTTTCACTGCCCGCATGCAGATTTGAACACATCAATATCGACCTCATTGGACCCCTTCCGCCGTCGGATGAGTACCAGTACTGCCTTACAATTATCGACCGGTACACGCGTTGGCCTGAAGCCGTACCGGTGAGGGACATATCAGCAGAAACAGTCGCCAGGAAACTCGTAACAGTTTGGTTTGCAAGGTTCGGGATACCAGCACGCATCACTACCGATCAGGGAAGACAGTTCGAATCTCAACTGTTCAATGAGCTGTCTCGCATGCTGGGCATAACCCACCTGCGCACAACAGCATACCATCCACAGGCAAATGGTATTATCGAGCGTTGGTACCGCTCTCTGAAAACAGCGATTGCTTGTCATGAACGCCAAGACTGGATAAAACGTCTACCACTGATCCTGCTAGGCCTACGCACAGCTTTTAAACCCGATATTGGGACAACTGCTGCACAACTAGTTTACGGTACTACATTGCGGTTACCGGGGCAGTTCTTTAGCGAAACTCAGGTAATTCGCCCACAATCAGAATTTGCCAAACAACTCGCCGACACAATGCAGAAAGTGCGCCCTACTCAAACCGCAAATCACGATGCATCTAAAACATTCGTATTCAAAAAACTCGCGGACGCAACGCATGTGTTTGTACGGCACGACAAGATGAGGCCAGCATTTCAACCAACATATGATGGTCCATACCCCGTAGTCTCAAGACATCCAAAGCACTTTACGGTACAAATCAACTGTAGCAACGTAAATATCTCCATAGATCGACTAAAGCCAGCATTCATCGAATTCAGTCAACCAGACACACAATCATCAGCAACGTCGACTCAACAAAAGTGTAGTCATCCATACGAAGTACCACCGATAGTAGATCAAACTCATTCGAATGAATCATCAACGACAACTTTGCCTCAACAAGATTCAGCATCATCGTCGGCGAAAGCATCGCCATTTAAGCAAACTACTTCGCCGGAGCCACAAACAAATCGTTCTGGACGCAGGATAAGACTCCCCGTCCGTTTCAGGACTTAAAAGTCTGGGGGGAGCAATGTGGCAACCGGCCTAAACTCAACCAGGGTGACGGCAACCCTAAACACACACGAAAGAACGAAACAAAAGGAATCATAAAAACACAAAATGAAAGTGCACTTAACGCCTCGAAAAATATAGACATTTTAGCAGAGCGAATCAATCCACACACCGGTGAAGACGAACAATCGTTAAATACGTTTATCACATATTCTCATATTAAATAGTTCCAGTGTAATAAGTTAATTTTATTTAAGTTTTTGATTAATAAAACGTTTGACACAAAACATAACACATAAAACAATAAAATAAAAGTCACAAAATAACTTTTTTCTCGAAGCTTTTATTATAAAAGTCATAACCGGTTGGGTCCCTGTTTTTATCTGGTTTTTGGACTTGTCAAACGCCTACAATAGAGTCAACTTGTGCTCACTTTATAATATTTTATTACAGATCAACATTGATACATCAATAGCTAATTGGACATACAACTTCTTCTCACAAAGGACTATTACCTTAGGAAACTCTACTGTTGAAATTACATCAGGCCTACCTCAAGCAACTTGTCAATCGCCGACACTTTTTAACATTTCCACATCCCAGCTTCATGAAATTAACGACACATAATTAAAAATTTGCCGACAATCTGGCTATTGTATCTACAAATACCAACAAAATTACAGCAGTACAAAACTTACAAAACAAAATTGAGTAATTACAGGTAAAATGTCAAATATAAATGCAGCATTAAATCTAAAATTCAACATAAAAAACCAATTTTATGCATATGTCTGCAAATAACAAACAAGCCTTCAACATACTAGTCAACGGGACTAACATTGAACAAGTTTCACATTTTAAATGGTTAGGTAGGACAATCAGCGCCAATTCCACAATCAAGGCCCACGTCAGCAATGTTAAAAAAGCAATAACATCGGGTAAGAAACTAATTTCCAAACTAACGGGAATCAAAGCAGGCATTTCATCCAACGCCTCAATAACTCTCTTCAAAACGTTTGTCTGGTCAAAGGCAGAATGCACCAGCACCAGGTAAGCTAATGCGCCGAAAGTGTACAACAAACAACTGCAGACCAGCTTGAACGAAACATTGCGGAGATGTCTCGGAGAGCCACCAAAACACCCCCACTCTGATGAGATATGCGATAGCGTATGAATTCGCGCCACTGTCCAGAACGGCGAGAGAACTAATCAAACAGTGGTTCTACAACCGAAATTCGTATCCGTTTTCCGTCAGTGTTTTGATTTTCTGATTATAAAGGGCTTTAAGTTCTAGGCGGGAAAATTTCTTTTAGTTTGTGTTAAATCGGATGCGAAGCACTTAAGGTTATCATATCTGTTAAAAGTAACGTTCGTGTATCTGTTGTTTATGATTACCTTGAATTTTTCATAGGTCTGGCTCATGGTACAATAATTACAGGTATTGATTTCCCAGAGAGTTTTGCTTCACATTGAAATTCGTGCTCCCTTATTTTCATTTTGACGCATTTCAATGTTGACTCTTTTACTTTAGTTGGCTTTGCTCTTCGTTTTCCCTCAATTTAATTTTATATATATGTATTTCTACAAATGTTTCATACCTGTTCAATGTGGATGGAAACTTCACGTCCACGTACGGTGAGCTAGCTGCATTGCCACAAGCGATCATCATTGCAAGTGACAGAGGTAATAAAAAAATTACAATATTTACCGATAGTCCGGCAGCAATCCAATCCCTAAACAGCCAAACCACCCGGAACTTCATAGTAGCGGAAAAACACAATTGGCTTCAACTGTCAAGCATTGAAAGCTTTAAAATCGTTTGGACACCCAGTCACGTAGGCATTAGGATAAATGAAATAGCTGACGAAGCAGCTAAAACAGCAATAATTCACGGCAAATCTCTACACCCTAAACTTACGCACTGTGAAGCGCTCTTACGAATTAGCAACACACTATGGACTGAAGCCAAAGCAGAATTCAAGGACAAACTACCAAAATGGGACCCAGACATAGCTGAGTTCTTTACACTAAAAAGCAGCCATGGTTCAAAAACAGAAAACTGCACCTTGAAACGTACGACGTAAAGCTACTAAACAGAATTGCCACAGGGCACACCTATGGTAAAACGTATTAAAACCATATATGTAATACTCCTATATTGGCAGAAAGAGCTAGTACCGCCCGAAAACACTACAGTACAGATATATCAATAAACACTAGGGTGGCCCTTACTTTTAAAAGTAAAAAATATTTAGCTCCCAATCTCTAATTTTATTTGAATAGCTAAAAAAATCATATGTGCAAAATTTTGGAATGATCGGACAAGCTTTAGGCGACCCTCATCGACTTGAAGTTTTCACATATATTACGTATGTATGTAGGTACGTATCAGCATCATTTAATGCCGTACAACTTTTTATCACTGCCTTATACACTTAGGGCCTTCTTCATAAAAAATAAAATAGGTTTATAGAATTCTATAAAGTGCCATTTTCATACAAATTTTCGATAATGCAATTAAAGCCTTCTTTATTTTTTATGAATTTTGGTGTTATTAATGGCTTTTTCTTTGTTCTCCATAAATCACAAGCCCTCTTGCATATTTATTTCAAAACTCAGAAATTTACATGTAGGTCTTTAAAAAAAAAAAATAAAAAAAAATCGATTTATCAGTGCCGCGGAATGCCCTATTCACAGGTACTATGTGTTAAATTGGTAATGTTCGGTTTCTACCGAAGTAGGCTAATTTTTACACTTAACTATATTGTTAGCAAATTTGCAAATCATACTTACCATTACTATTACCTATTAATTTGTTATGAAAATTTATTTGTTAATTTAAAATTTCCTTGTGGGTAAATGTACGATCACTGGATTGTGCCCTTTTCAGTAATTAGAACACATTTTTTCAAATTGTTATATGTCGGGTTCTGTTCATCGTAGAGACTTCATTGTAGACTGTCACAAAATTAATAATCTCGTCATAAAAAAAATATTTTAAAAATAGTTCTTGAAAAACTCCCATTTTTTTTAAATATGTTTTTTATAAAGAATTAGGCCCCTATTATGAGTTGCATTCGATCTTCGGCTGTGGTCGAACCAATTTTCATTCGGTATTATGGCGTTCATTCGGTGAAGAATAGCGCTGTTGTGAATTTCGTTCGTTTAGGTTGTTCACAATAGTATATTTTCACCGTTGAGAAGCTTTGTTAACAAATCGAGCAAACTAAATAGTGTTCTTATACATATGTACATAGTATGTAAATTTGTGCAAATTAAAATGAAATAAAAAAGAAAGCGAGTTTATAAAAACGTGGTAAAAATTAGTACAACGGAGTTCTGGTTCAACGATTCGTCAGAGGATGGGAGCTTAAAAAACTTTCCAGGGGTAGAAAATGTTTAAGAGAGTTTAAGTGTGGTCTTTCGAATATATTTTGACACACAATATATTTAAGAAATTTTGTGATCCAAATCTATTTAAAATATATTAAAACTATAAACAGCTCGTCCCAACAGAGTGTTGGTATTTTCTTTCATAAGTGAAACCAGCCTTTCGAGCTTGTATTTAGTATTCACGGCATGAAACTAGTAAAAATTGTTTGAAATTAGTGTCTAACCGCCAAAAAGTAAGAAAACAAAGGCAAAATCATAAATTTTTTACAATTTTCTAACACTTCGCTACACCACCGAAAGCAAAATTCTGTTCGACTGAAAATTCGATACTCAACGAAAATTTCGACACGCTTGCATAGCTCATAATACGAATTTCACTTTCAATCTTCGATAGCCAGCGAAGATCGAGAATCGAATTCAACTCATAATAAGGGCCTTAAACAAGGGTTACGATGGTGTAATTTTAAATCCCAAATTTACTGATCTTCACTATGCAAATCAACTTAAAAAAGTGGAACTGTTAATAGTTGGCTTAACTTTAGGACAATACCATCATACAGAATTCTTTGTCTTCAAAACGACGTTAGGATAAAGTCTCTACGATGAGTAGAGCCCGAGATATAATGATTTGAAGAAGTACATGAATGGTCAGAATCACGAAAAAATTCGAACTTTGACAGATAATATCTCCGAAGAAAATAAAAAAATTTCTCTAAATACCGATTTTATGAAAAAATACCCTTCAACATAGAGCAATGATGCAAAAGTAATGTAGAAAAACTAAAGAACATTGTTGTTGTAAATGATGTCGCAGAAAGAATGTTATGGTAAGCATACGATGGGAGCAGCAGTGAATGCAGGCGGCATGACACAAAGGGGTGCTCTGTGGCTAGTCATGTCGGCTGGGCTGGGTTCTTGCATTCACCACTGTTCCCTGCGTCATAGCAGAGAAAAGTCATGCTTGTCAAACATCTTCAGCTTCCGGCATGGCCGGAAGTATCGGACGGACACATAACGAAAATTCAAAAAAAAGCACAGTAAAAAAAAGCTGAAAAAAGAACGTTAAATTAAATATCGAAAATAAAATTTAAAATCAAAAAGAAACCAAGAATCTAACCAAACTAACAAAAAGAAAATAAACGAAATAAAAAAAAAACAAAGCCGAATATAAGGGCGCCACTGGTGGTGATGTGACGCCCGGTGCTGGCCCACCCTCATCCGTGGCTATCAGCGCACCCTAGTATTGATAGCCCCATTATCGAATTCCTAATGTGCCCCCCTATGGAATGAGTAAACTCAGCATTCCCATTTTTAACTTATAGTTTTATTTATAATTCATTTTCTTATAACTAAATTAATCCTATTTCTTAAAGCTAACTCCTATCATCTAAACCTGGTAAGTATATTTACTTAACCTACTAGGTTGGTATGTCTCTTAAGTCTAAAGCAAGTGTGTTAATCGCAAGAGGGTAAGATAAGTATAGGTAACTAGAACTGAGGTAAATACATGAGGTAAGTGTTTACCCTAAAGTTAAATCTAACTAAGTAAACTAAGTTAAGGCTAGCTAAGTATATCTAGTATTTTCACAAAAAAAAATGTATATCAAGTA